TGGGAAACTATAGGACACAGGAGAGAAAGATTGAAAGAGAAAGCACAGGAGTACTGAAGTGAACCAGAAAGAGAAGAGCTAATGCTCACTCACATGAAAATATCACAAAATCAAGAGATAGTTTAAGAAAGAGAGAAAGATGTGTAGCAGAAAACATGCAGAAAGGTAAGAAACCTAAATTATGAAAAAAAGAATAATAAAAAACAAAAACAAGACAAAAGTAACCACTCAATACAGCACGCAAAAAATCAAAACTCCAAGCCAACAGAAAAAAATGACTAAACAGACAAAGAAAAATACAAGTAGTAAAACTCCTCTGGTGTCTATAGTCTGTGGTAGTGTCCACGTCACATCTGAGAAATGTGCTGGGTACTCCAGCCAAGTTAACAGTGGGATTTGTGCTGTGGGGTTGAGCTTGGCCTCTGGATATGGGGACTGGTCTTCTGTTGCTCAAATTCTCCCAGAGCCCCTTGGTATAGACTGGCAGCCCCACCCGCTTCCGTTCCATGTGATTGTGTGCCAGAGCACAAGGCTGTTCCACCTTACTTACCGACTGCTGGCTTGTATTCTCACTGCTGCTTTGGACTTTTCCATGTTGCTGGTCCCACCTGGGCCAGCATGAGCACCCATGCCTGCTGTCTTGGTCCCACCCACTGCCTGTGCCAGCATGTGCTACCATGCCTTGACATTCATTTTTGTATCCTTTATTACCTTAAAATTTTTGATATAAAGCTGGGTGTGATGGTGCATGCCTGTAATTCCAGCCCTCAGGAGACTGAGGCAGGAGCATCATTGTGAGTTCGAGACCAGCCTGGGCTACAAAGTGAGTTCAAGGCCAGTCTGAACTGCATATCGAGATGCTGTCTCAAAAAGACAAAAAAATTTTTTTGATATAAATATATAGATCCTTTCAGAAAACTCAATGGTGCAAATTTCATTAGCCTTAGATTTACCTACCTTATGTAATCACCCTTCAAAATGGAGGATAGCAAGATAAGAGTAAGTAAAGGAAGCTTTTAGATACACAGGGAAATATGATTGCCAGCTTTTACACTGTACACTTCCAAACTCTTCCACATTAGAGCCAAGACCAAAGATCTCTGGTCCTGAACAAGCAATCACCTAGGTTGCAGTAAACACTGGACTGAAACTGCTACAAACAGAGACAATTATTTCATGGGAATGGAATCTCCCCCTCAAAAGAGGATGAAACTAGGACTGAAATAATAATCAACCAGAACCTATCCCACTGCAGAAGCCCATCAAACTTGTCCCTACTCCTTGTTCAGGCGCCAGTCTGATCCTCTGCTAAGAATGTGCCCCGTCCAGCTACCACTCAAACAGGAGTCCTTTCTTGATCTTCTCTACCATTCAGATAAAACTTGTGCCTGTAAATTCATACTGTCACTTTAGATTTAATTTCCATTATCACTAACGCAAAGGCTTATGCCATCTAGTTACACTTGGGTTCTAGGAAAATCAGAACTTTGCAGACAAATCGACTCATGTACTCATTCCCCACCACACTGAAGCAGTTTCTTCCAGATGGAACTTAGGCAGTTCCCCAAGCAACAGCAATCATTTCATGGGAATAGATTGTCCCTCATGTGAAGGGACTTCTCTGGAGTCACTTTGCACAAGCAAAAGTGACATAAGGATGCAGCGGAGTACAGCCTGATTATGACTGCATAATTACATATACCTCTCACCTCTCCATCCTGGACAAATCCATCCTCTGTTTAAATGTCCAGTTCCTCTTGTCAGTTCCCCAAAGACATGACTAGAACACTTGCTCACCCTTCTCTTCCTCATGTAGCTATATCGATACTATTCCTTTTCTTTCTTGCAACATTACTTTTTCCATTTGACTTCTGCAGTGCATGGCAGGACCTAATTTGTTGGGACTCCCCAAGGTTAGACATTCGTGAGCCAAGACTCAGTTATGTCCTTCATTTCCACATGTTCTTGGATTCTCATTCAGCTCACTGAGATCTCTAGGCTGGTTGTAAGATGGAGGTTGGGAGGGAAATTTGGGAATGAAAACGTGGGGCACAGATTTTCATAGCACGTATTTGGGGGTATTCATTATTCTGTAATATTTTGATTTGGGTGAACATTCTTTGGTCAATATGTACACGTTGCTGTCGGACCTGTCTGTCATTTATATTTTGTTCTCCCAGAAGTAAAGAAGAATCAGTGACTGATAACTGTGATCACAGAATAAGATGCAATTTGCACCTGGACATTTTTCTAACATTATTTGGTGTCTTGATGAGTGTTATTGACACAACCAGAGACCACTATTGGAAAAGAGGACAAATACAAAAGAAAAGAAAACAAAATAAAACAACGCTCCAAACTCCTGGACACTTAACCTGTCAGTCATTGAAAGCATGACTTGTGTTTCCTGCTGAAGCAGTCAGGAACTCAAAAGTGGCTTGTAATAAAACTTATGGAATATCAATTAGACCTACAGATATCCAATGGGTAAGTAAAAGCAAAGTAAACTTTCATCTCTATTTTATTTCCTTCATTACCTAAAAATTTCAGATATAGGTATGTCAATCATTTAGGAAGAGTTGGCAAATTGAGATTTATGAGCCCTAAATTTGATTTGTGGGGACAGCCAGGTGTGGTGGTGGACACCAGGAGGCTGGACTGGGAGGATCAGCATGAGTTCAAGGCCAATTTGGACTCCATAATATATTCAACACTAGCGTAAATACATAGCAAGACCATGAGTGAAGAAAAAAGAAAGAAAAGAAAAGATTTGCGGGGCCATCTAGGTACCAGGTTTTACAATGTCTGCTTCCAGATCACCCCACCCTATCCCCAACCTCTAAAGCAATGCCCAGAGACTCCACCCACTCTACAAAACATAGTATGATGTGGATTCCAAGAAAAGCAGAGTCTCATATATCAAACCCCATCCAATCACCTTCCTCAGGAAGAACAGTCTCAAGGAAACTAAACTGTTCCTCAAGCCCTAAGGACTTTCTGAAGTCACTTTGCACAAGCAACAGTGACATAAGGATGCAGCAGAGTACAGTCTGACTATGACTGCATAATTACACATACACATACAGAGCTCTGAACCTGGGATGAGGTAATGATTAACCAGATGTCAGCCCACCACAGAACCTCATAAAATGGGTCCTTTTCTTTTGTTAAAAGGGCCACTCTGAACATCTTCATTGGTGCGTCCACTTCAGTTTTTCAAGGTGGTATCTTTTCCTGATTTTCTCTTCCTTTCCTTTGCTAAGGGGTCAGATTGCTCTTTTTGAGCTCCCCAACACAAAATATCTTTCTATTTTATTTCATTTTATTTTAGTCTAGTTTACTTTATTAGCACATGTATACAGTGTGCAGTCTTTACATTCCTTGTGGGAAGTGTGTACATGTACATACCACATCTTAATTCCCTTTTTTATCCCCTTTCCCCTCCTTTCCTCCCTCCTCCACTCATTCCTTTGTTACCCGTGGTGAGGGTGGATCATGTCTATGGTTTGTAACTTATATAAATAATGAATTACAGATATGAATTTAGAAGGAGAAACAAAATCACTTTATTGGAAAGAGGAGAGAAATAAGGAGGTAGGTGGCTACATTTTTGAAGTAAACCAGGGAGCCTGGACCTGGTGCTCAAGGATTTTCATTCTCAGGCTCTTTTATTATATGGCAAGAAATCAACTTTCTTCCTTGAGAGTCACTACAACTTGATGGGCTATTTTAGGCTCTGTGATGCCTGATTCTGACACTGTCCCATTGTACTGCCTAGGCTTTCATTTTTGGGGAAGGTTTCTTCGGTCTTTATTTCTGCCACAGTGATATCTGTGGGAATGGCAGCAGAGCCTCACATTCAGGACTGAGTTAGCAAAAAGGATACATGTGCAATTTAGTGTATTAATATGGTGAAAGAATAATTAAATATATATTCATGTATGTTTGCCCGAGTGTCCAGGTGTGAGTATCCGTTTTACAAACTAAATGAACTTTCTGTAGTGCAGCCTCCCTCCCCACTTTGTCTTCTGTACTTGACTGGAGAAGTAGAGGAACAAATCGGGGTCCTGGCACCAAGGAAGAAGGGCTGTTCATCAATTCTTCTTGCTTCTCAGAATTGCTCTTTCTAGCCAGAGTTTAAGTGTTTGGGGTCAGGGTTTGTCAGAAACCTGTGTAAGACCCTTACCTTTCCCTGACTGGCCCTCAACTTTCCCTGTGCCTTTTCTGTTACTTTCCAATTAAAGCCTTTTTACGTACAAATATTTGCGTCAGATTTTATTTCCATCATAACTGAAGCAAGGGCCCATGCTACTCAGTGACACTATTTTGTGTGCTGAAAGGTTTTGGCATTTAAATTTTTTTTTTATTTTAAAGTCAGTAGTAAAAGAAAAAAAAAACTAGCAATAGCAGCATACCATCATCACAAACATAAACAAAACAAAGCAAGAACATTAAAAGTGACACCAGGTTTCAACACAAAATGATAGGGATTAACAGTGGTTGTTATATTACATATTGTTATCTTCAGTTATGTTGCTCAGATTACCAGATGTAGGAATGGGAGATTGTTCAAACCATTAAAGGGAATAAAAAGTAATTATTAGATAAAACGTAAGAGATAATACAGAATTTCACTAGACAAGATGATAGGAGTTCACCAAGGGTTGTTCCATTGCATATTGTCTTCAAATCAGTTGCTCAGAGGATGAGATATAAGCATGCAAAATTGGTCAGAACATAAAAAGTTTTAAGCATTAACTGTTCCTTTCAATATACCATCAGACATCACCAGTACAGTTATTCCAGTTGTGTGTACATCTATCTATCTATATAACTATCTAATCTATATATATATATATATATATCTTTTGCCTTTTTTCTGTTTTCTTCTTTCTCTCATCCCAGCTGTTCCTTCCTTTGAGCAATTTCTTTCCCTTTCATATCATCTATTGTACGTTTTGAGTTTTACTTACTCTTTCAGATTCTTACACCAGGGAGACAATACGATGTTTACTCACGTGGGTCCAATTTATTAAACTTACGAGTATGGTCTCTAGTTGCATCCATTTACTTACAATGTGTTGGCATTTTAGTACACTTCCCTCCACTGGATGCATGCATGAACAAGTGCAACGGTGTGTTTGATGATGTCAAACTAATAGGAACCTTTTGCTTTGCCCAAGACAATGGGCATGGGGATACTAGTAGCTGAACCTTTGATTAACTAATTGTGCTAATGGGAATCTAAAGATGTTCCTCCTATGCCTGCCTGCAGGCACATGGGGTGGGAGGAATCTAGCTTGGTGCTATGGGCAGGAGACTCCACTCTACAAGGTCTTCAGGAGTCTCATCCCACTCCTGATGAACACTCTTGGACATGCTGCTATCACACCTGGAGATCAAACCTGCAAAAACCTAGGGATGCCATCTTGGCTGTCTGGGGCATCCCTGGGTATGGACCTATGCCCCCAATCACAGATCCATTCTTAACTTTAGAGGTAGTGGGCAACTCAGATAGCAACTTTTGCAGATGAAGAAACACGGGCTGAGAGAAAAGTCATGCAGAGCCAGGACTGAAAGGTTCGTACTCAGAACTCAGCTCCAGAGATATCTGTCACCCTCTTGCCAGAGATCTGTGATCAGATGAGGATGGATCTCCGACAGTGCTTGGAAAAGTTTGTTTTTGCAGGCTGCGTTCCAAGATGGGCTGAAGCTGAACAGCATCCGCATCTTTCTTTGCTTGGTGGGCTCAGCCCATACGCTTTCATATTGCTCTTCACTCAGCACCTGCTCACTCAGCAGCTTGTCTAATACAAAGTCCACCGAAGTCACTCGGGCCACCAGCTGCTCCCGATGCTGGTCCACGAAGTGCAGCAAGTCTCCGGCACTTGGAGGTAACACTGAGGCAGGAATGAGCAAAGAAAGGTTTCCACCATGGGCCTTGCTTCTGATCCCTTATTTCTCTAACTTTTCAATCACCTCGTCTGCATCTTGACTTCCTTCCCTCTCTGGAAAGGCATTTAACTGCCAGAAAGCACCAGCGCCTTACTCATGGCAGCGCGGATTCTGACTTTTTCTGAGTGGGGAGGAGGGGTCCATTATGGAGCTTGAGGCAGTGAATGGGGTGCTAGGGTTCTGTGGGCAGGGGCAAGGAGCATGAGGAAGATTCTGACACTGGGCACGCACTCCTCCAGCCTGACCTCTGGTGAGAGTGCCTCCTTTCTCTTCCCTTTCCTCCAAGACTAGACAGCATATCCTAGGAATGCCACTGTCAGCGATGGTCTCTGACAACTGTTACTGACCTCTGGCAGGTGGAGGAACTAGAGAGGGTGCAGGTCTCAGGTCCCCTGGGAGAAAAGAGAGATGAAGATACATCAGTGAGAGTGCTAGTTATGAGAATATCTGACATGCTTTGAAACTCCCATCTGCTTCTGATTTTCTTGGATCTGAGGGCAAGCAACAGATTCTGATTGACTCTGAAGTTAGGACTGCAAGCCACTTAGAATTTATCTAGACAAATCTCTTTCTTTTGTATATGCAAAAATTGAGAAACAGAGCTTATGTTCATAAACTAATAAGGAAGAGCTAGCCAGAAATATGCCATAATAATTTCTCACACTTCTGAGACTCATGTTTTTTTTCTGTCTTGTTCTGAACTGAATGATGGTGGAGAAGTAATGAGAGCTCTTGTGAAATGTCTGCAACTATTCCACATCTTATTCTGAGCAGAACTGACTTCCATGTTCTTGTTTGTTCTCCAATATTCACAGGCCAAATAGGCACAGTCTAGATTTGGAGGTCAGAATCAAGATCAAGGACCTATTAGCATGTGCGACTAATGAGTGAATTTTGAAAAGAAAAACTAAAATAAGCACAACAATGATTACAACACCAAATGAAAGGACTTAACAAATTATTTGCATAGGAGAAGAATGTTCACAACAGCTCATGTGAACAAGGACTGAGACTGTGAGCAGACTTTAAGTTCACCGTGACCTAATGATAGTATCTAGAGTGGGCACAAACACTTAGATGCTATTACTGCCACCCCTGGGTTCATGTACTGAGCAGTGTTCCTCATGCTTCATTTTACTGCACAGATTTGGAATGAATACTGACTCAGTCATAAATTGGAGCATCTGCCAGCAAAGGCAACTGGCCAGGAAATTTTAAAAGCACATATAAGGAGAAGTGAAAAAACTGGGGATATTTAATTTGCAACAGGGGAGACATAAGGGAAGGCATCATCTAAGTGTTCCAGTAACTGAAGGGTTTCCCATACGGAAAAGAGACTTTCATAGACTTCAACAGATTAAATTAAGAAGAATAGGACCTGTACGGTGGCTTCACACCCAGAAAATGAACATTATTGGTGTTCATTTTCCTATTAAGGATCATTGCATGAGGCATTTCCAGACATCATTTTATTTAACCTTTCCAGTAATTATCCACCCTAGTCATTATGATCCTAGTCTTTCAGATGAAGAACCCCAGTCCCAAACAAGATCAATAATTATCCTAGAGCACCCAGTGTGTTAGTGCTGGAGTAGGATTCAACCCCAGGTTTGATGCTGGCCTGGTTAGTTCATCTTCTGTGGTTTTTCCCAAACCAATGCTGATGAGAATCTATCTACCTTTTATGACATGGTAAAGTCTGTTTGTAGAATCTCAGAAATTGTTACTGTCTAACAGCTGACAAGGTTGGTTGACCCTAGAAGGACTTATCAGGGGATTTTGGTTTTGGGATGTTTTGGTGCTGGTCTAAGAAACTGTAATATTTTTTGACTCCTGAAAGTTAACTGTCTACCTTGAAAATAATAACTAGTGCAAGAGTGAGGATGTGATTTTGGCAACATTAACTTATGCATTAAGTAGAGAACCCTCTAGTACTTTTCCTTTCATTTCACACTCAAACCATCATGAGACCATGTACAATTGACCTTGTGCATGTCAAAATATGTTAACTAAAGGACAGTATTGAGATGCCAGGATGCAGGGAAGGGGAAATAGGGCTGAGTGTCTGACTAACTTGAGTTTAAATTCTGATCATACCAGCTGTTAAGTAAATTGAGAAAGCCATGTAAGTTGTGTAGGACATTTCTTTTCATTAATAAACTGCAACAATACATTAACACAGACACTGGCATGTATACTTGCATTCTCCATGTTCTGATATTTTTTGACTTGCCCTGGTATTACCTGGTCTCAACAAGGCCTCCCATACAACTGTCCCTTCTTCCTTGTGTCTCATTTCTAGCCGGATTCCTGACCCCAAAGAGCAAACATAGATCTCACAGAAGAGTTGCGTTTCTCTGGCGCTTCGATAGCAGAGCTCTAGTTCCTGAAGAGAAAAAGTGAGAAGCTATCATTTCTAATCACATGAAATCTTTCTGATGCACCCCCCAATATCTTCTTGGCCATGCTTAACTGTGGAGGATCACCTGGGCACCTCTCCTTGAAAGAGGAGAAGTTGTCTCCATTTTTGCTGAGCCTGACCCTATTTCCATGTATTGATATGTACAGAGCTGTCCAGGACTCTTTCCTTATCCCTTCAATTGGCTTTAAGCAATGCATATTGGTCTAGTCCAGGTGCTGATGGCAGTCTTTGAAGATGGCAGGTGTGTTTCCCCAGACACCACCCCCATTGTTCCCATGAGTGGACCAGGATGAGGCAGAATGTGTGAGCCAATGTTCCACAGTGTCAGCTAGGATTGAGCCTCAAGATAGAGGTTTTGACTTCCTGGGGCTTAAAAAATTACCATCAGAGCTGAAGCACAGACCCCAAAATATTAGGTACTATCTCAGTTGTGTTACATAAATTGCTCTTTCTGCATATCCTTCTCTCTGCATAAGGCAGAGGAGATTTCAGGCCTCCTACCTAGCCCAGCTCATGGCACCCATGAACTTTCCACCACTCTTACACTCACTCATCCTCAAGCCACTCCCTTCTTCACAAATAAATAAAATCCAGGTTTGGTCCTGGGTATAGGCCTTTGTTCTGGATGGCCATTGCTGTGGCTGACTTAGGACCCCTTGACTCCCCATAACTACAAATATGCCTTAATGTCTTCATTCTCACCATGGGCTGCACTAAAAGTTGTAGATTGGAGTTAACCCACTGGGTTTCCAATAACTTTTCATGGGATTACAAATATAAACTTCCTGGGCTGCGATGAGAACTGGGAATGGCTCTCTATACTAAACCTTGTTTGAGCACTGATCCTCTTCTGTAGTTGCATCAGTCTCCAACTTCACATCACAAATACAAACCCAGGAGACTAAGGGCACAGTGAATAGCTTTCAGAGGAGTCAGGGATCATCCTAAAAGCTATACTGTTTTTCCTAAATCAGCACTGTTTCTTTTTATTTTTATCTGTATCCTCTGTCTTTCAACAGCCTATCTTAGAGATCTCTTTTTTCTAGCCAAACATTTGTGGTTTCTAACCTTGTTATAGTTTATATCTGTGTGTCCCCCCAAAGCCTCACGTGGTCATGGGGCAGGCTTTTAAAATTTGATTGATTATGGGTATGAGAGCTACACCCACCCTGGGGTGGACAGTTTGCATATGTAAGGGAGAGGAAGAGGCTGATTGTGGCCATTCCTCCCTTTTAGTGCTTGTTGTTGTTGCTGTGTTCTGCCGCCATGAGCTGTAGCCCTCTGCCATGTGCCACTCTGCCTTGTAACCTGCCAAGTATAGACTAAAACCTCCACAGATTGTAAGCAAAATAAACCTTTCCTTCCTTAATTTTTGGCATCAGGTATTTTGTCCCAGCAATGAGAGAAAAGTAACCAAGACAGAATTTGGTACCAGGAGTGGGGTCATTGCTCTGACTATATCTGACCATGATGTTCAAGAGCCTTGGGAAATGGCTTGTGGGAAGTGTTTGGAAAGGTTCGGAGATATCGCCTGAAAGAGATGTGCTAGAACGCCTTTGGCTGTTCTGTTTGGGAGATTCTGGTAAGAGCTCAGAAGTCCAGAAAACTGATAGATATCCTGCCAGTAAAGGCTTAGTTTGGGAGGTTTCTCGAGGGGAAGAAGGACTCCATCGGTTGTTGGACTCCAGACAATGTGTGTTATGGCTTGGCAGAAAGTTTGTCTGCATTTTGCTCATGTCCAGAGACTTTGCCTAAGACTGAGATTAAGGGTGGCAGAGGACTGATTAATCTGGGAAAATAAATTTCAAGGCAGTCAAACGTTGGGGAAGTGGCATGGCTCTTGTTGGGTGCTTTTAGCCAGATTTATATTGAGAATCAAGAACAAAGAGCCCAGCAGGATGATTTAAAATGTTGTGAGTTTGGCCAGAAAGAAAGCTCCAGTAAAGCTGTGGACCTCAAAAGTGGAGCTGAGGAGATCTCCATTGCTGAGAAGGAACAAGAGAATGGAAAAGATGGCCTGAGGGCATGACAAGCAGCAAGTCTCCACCCTTTGCCGCCTCAAAACTGCAAAGGCAAAAGACCTTGCCTTGAGAAGAAAGCCACTGAGCACCATGTTCCAGAATGGTGGCAGCATAGAGGATCTGTTCCTCAGAATTGGATTCAGAGTGCCCAGCGATCCAAGCACTTGACCCCTGTGACCAAGAGAGAGGAAAGCTTAGCTACTGCTCCAGGTGGCAGCAGACCTTGACATCATCCACTTGGCCCTGGCTTTAGGTGCATGGAGAATACAAGAGTTCTGAAGTTGAAGAGGCTTCCACCCAGATTTCAGAAGGCCTGGGAGGCCAGACAGTGTGCACCTGAGGGGCAGTGTGTGAAGCTGTGAGTGTGAAGCAAAAGGTGCACTGGAGACCTCAGAAGTTTAGAAAAGTCAGGACCGTGGATCATCTAAGGAAAGCTGCAAGGAGGGAGCAGAGCGGGCCTAAGAGAGAAGCCATGGAAGCTGTAACCACCAGAAGTGCCATACGGGTGAACTCATGCAAGCCCTTTGGAGCTTACAATGTGCCACAGATTGCTTCAGATGCTGGTCATGTAACTGCAGGACATAATGTTAGCCCTGCTGGATTTTGGACTTGCTTTGGTCCCAATGCTCTGTGTCCCCCTGTTTGTACCTTTTGGAATGGTACTGCTTATTTTGTGCCATTGAATGTTGGAAGTGTTTAACTTTTCATTTGTACAGGGGCTCACAGCTAAGAGTTTGCCTTACATCTTGGAGGAGACTTGGGACTTGGACTTTTCAGCAGTGGTGCAACTGTTAGGACTTTGGCAACTCTTGCAGATGGACTAAATGCTGTTTGTATAAAGGGATGGGCATGAGTCTTTGGGGGACCAGGGGTGGAATGTTATGGTTTGTGTCTGTGTGTCCCCCCAAAGCCTCATGCGGTCATGGGGCAGGCTTTTAGAGTTTGATTGGTTATGGGTGTGAGAGCTACACCCGCCCTGGGGTGGATAGTTTGCATATGTAAGGGAGAAGAAGAGGCTGCTTGTAGCCATTCCTCCCTTTTAGTGCTTGTTGCTGTTGCTGTGTTCTGCCGCCATGAGCTGTAGCCCTCTGCCATGTGCCACTCTGCCTTGTAACCTGCCAGGTATAGACTAAAACCTCCACAAATTGTAAGCGAAATAAACCTTTCCTTCCTTAATTTTGGGCGTCAGGTATTTTGTCCCAGCAATGAGAGAAAAGTAACCAAGACAAACCTCGCTACACTTCTAATCAACAGAGAATTTATATCCATCTCTTTCCCAAGTAAAATCCATGACAGACTACTCTCCAAACATGCTCCTCCCATTTTCTTCAATTTCAGTGAGTAACACTAGTACCTATGGGGAGGTCAGATTTCAAATTTAGGTATCATGTTATCTCTTTTCTCTCCCCATATACAACCAGTTCATCAACTCCTGGTGTCTCTACCTCAAAATAAATTTCAAGACATGTTACACAGCCTATTAGTCCTTTTGGTTTTGACAATTATTTTCTTTCAGTTGTGAATCCATCAGTTTTTCTCCATCTCCATTGCTACGGATGTAGTCACACCACCATGAACTTTCATCTGTGGTACTGCAGTAGTCTTTGAATTTGTCTCTGTCTCCCTTCTTACCTGCTGATCATCCATTCATGTTCCACAGGTGGAAGTATCTTTAAGAAAGTTAGTCAGGTCTTGTATCACCACATTTAAGATTCCCCCAGAGCTGGCCATAGGCCTTGGAAAAAGTTCCAAACTCCATGTCATGGGCAACCGGACCATGGGCACTGGACAACTCTGATTTTGCTTTGACTGCACCAATAGGTCTCTGTCACACTGGCTTCCTGTCATCTGGTGATATCAAGTGTGTGATCACCTTGATACCTCTACACACAACCTTCTATCTTGCACATGCGAGAAGCAGTCTTGTAACTGAGTTCTAAACTCAAATGGTACCTTGTCAGATATCTTTTCTGATGACCGGGTCTAAAGAAGTCTGTGACACTGTCATGGTGCTCTGTTTATGTCACAGTACTTAGTGCTGGTGTGCTTCATCACTACTTCTACAATTATTTATATAAGTCTCATCTGCCAGGAAGTAAGATTCCCACAAGAAGGGATTTGTCTGTGAGGTCCACTGAACTACCTCTACTAAAAGTTATATCAAATATTGGATGAATATTTGTTGAATAACCCCTGTCTCCCTTTCTCCCAGCCTCAATAGCAATTGATGTGGTAGAAAAGCACAGAAGTATTTATTATTGGATTCATGTTTCCCAGTGGGAGGAATCAATATCACTTCCTGATGAGTACTGGACATACGGCCATCTCGAGACACTAAATAAGATCATGGGAATATTTCAGAGGTGAGCAGCATCTGTCTGTGACATCATAAGAAGTCACTTTGGTGATTCTTCATCAGCCTTTGGCATTATTATGGTTTGTGTCTGGAAGATCCCCAAAGCCCCATGCTTGTAGAGTTTATGATTGATCCATGGTTCAATGTGAGGAATATGGGTGTGAGTGTTACCCTTGGGCTGGGGCAGGTAGCTTGCATACAATATAAGTGTGAGAAAGAGGCTCTTCAAGTGGTCACTCCTCCCTTTTGTTCTTATTGCTTTTGCTATCTTCTGCCGCCATGAACTGTTGCCCTGTGCCATGTGGCACTCTGCCTTGGAGCCAGTCAAGTATGGACTGAAACCTCCACAAACTGTTAGATAAATAATCATTTGCTTCCTTAATTTGGGTGTTAGGTATTTTGTCCCTGCAGCAAGGGAAAAGTAATCAAGACAGAATTTGGTACTGGAGGAGTGGGGTCATTGCTGTGACTGTACCTGACCATGTGGTTCAAGAGCCTTTGGAAATAGGTTGTGGGAAGTGTTGGAAGAGTTCAGAGATGTTGCCAGAAAGAGTAGAGCTGGAACACCTTTGGCTGTTCTGTATAGGAGATTCTGGTCAGAGCTCAGAAGATTAGAAGTCTAATAGAAATCCTGTCAGTAAAGACCAGGTTTGGGAGGTTTCTGCTGCGAAGAAGGACTACATTGGTTGTTGGACTCAAGATGATGTGTGCTATGGCTTGGCAGAAAGTTTGTTTGCATTTTGCTTATGTCCAGAGACTTTGCCTGAGACTAAGATTAAGGGCAGTGGACTGATTAATCTGGCCGAAGAAATTTCAAGGCAGTCAAATGTTGAGGCAGTGGCATGCCTATTGCTGGGGGCTTTTTACCAGAATTATGTTGAGAATCAACAGCAAAGAGTCCAGCAGAATAATTTAAAATGTTGTGAGTTTGGCCAAAAAGGAAGCTCCAATAAAGCTGTGGATTGCAAAGATAGAATGAGGAAATCAAAATTGCTGGGAAGGAACAGGAGAATATAAAAGATGGCCTGAGGGTATCTCAAGAAACAGCAAATCTTTACCCTTTGCAGCCTTGAACCTGCAAAAGTGACAGATTTTTCTTTGAGAAGATTAAGCCAAAGAGTGCCATGTTCCAGAATGGAGTCAGTGGCCACACCGGGTACCAGAATGGTGGCAGCATAGAGAATTTGTTCCTCAGAATTGAATTCAGAGTGCCCAGCAATCCAGGGACTCGACTCCTATGGCCAAGAGAGAGGAAAGCTTGGGTACTGCTCCAGGTGGCAGCAGACCCTGGCGTCATTCATGTGGTGCTGATTTTAAGCTCATGCAGAATGCAAGAGTTCTGAGGTTAAGAAGGCTTCCACCTAGATTTCAGAAGGCCTGAGAGGCCAGGCAGTGTGCCCCCAAGAGAGCAGTGTGTGAAACTGTGAGTGTGAAGCAAAAGGTGCAGTTGAGACCCCAGAAGTTTGAAAAAGTCAGAAATGTGGATTTTCTGAGGCAATCTGCAAGGAGGAAGCAAAGTGAGCTGCAAGGAGGAAGCAAAGACAGAAGCCATGGGAGTTACAATCACCAGAAGTACCATAGAGGAGGAGCCACATAAGGGCTTTGGAGCTCACAATTTATCACAGATTGCTTCAGATGTTTCACATGGAACTATAGGACAGAATGTTAGCTCTGCTGGATTTTGGACTTGCTTTGATCCCAGTGCTTTATACCACCCAATGCTTTATATCATCCAATGCTTTATATCAGAATGGAGGCAGAGAGACAAATCCAAAGGCTATTTCCTTCCTTCCTTCCTTGCTTCCTTCCTTGCTTCCTTCCTTCCTTCCTTCTTGTTTTTTTGAGGTAAGCTTTCAGCAAGCAGTTCTTTCTGGGCTTGATCTCACTATGCAGCCCAGGCTGGTCTTGAACTCCTTGTGATCCTACTGCTTTAACCTCCTGAGTGCTGGGATTACATGGATGTCCCAGTGTCCTGCTTTGTGACATTACCCAATCTAGTGCAAATCTATTTCCTTAGACATTCCATGAAAATAAGGCTCAAATCCTACTGTGTTTTTTTTTTCCACCTCCCTTTTCCTTAGATGACCAAAGATTCCTCATTGTGTGGGATTTTTTTTTTTTTTTTACTTTAAAGGGAATTTTAAAAAATGAAGAATAGCAAAGAGAAAAGGGAAGAAGGAAGGAAAGGAAAAATCCATACAAATACAGAAGGAGGGCTGGGATAACTAAACTGCTGATGTCTAATGGTTTATTGAAAGGAACAGTTAATGCTTTAATTATTAATTTTTAAATTTTTTGACCAGTTTTGCATGATTATATCTGGTAACCACTGTGTGGAATTTGCTGTAATGTGTGTCATAAATCCAACAAGATTGACTATAGGTATGTTGTTAGCGTAATTTGATGCGAAGGTATTGACACCCATAGACCAAACACTTCCCAGCAAAACCCCACTATGCTCACATCGGTGTGATCCTCCCTCTCCCTAACTGCCTTTACTCCAACCTCTGAATCATTCCTGGTCACTCCTAAACCCTCTTGTTTTCTGTCACTCTCCAATTCATCTGGTCCCTAGCAACTACCTGGGTCCTGCCCCACAGTTTTTCCCAAACATGCCTTCTAACATGGAAACCCTGGAAACTGGACAGGCATGTTGCTGCTCACCTGGGGCATGATCTCCAGGGTCTCAGAACCAGACACAGTGTAGCGGGTTCCCATGTAAAGGGGGCTGAGTGGAGGCGGCTTGTGTATCCTCACAAACTGAAAGTCTCTTTCTTGGTCATCTATGGCCTAAGAGACATAAAGAACAGTGATTATGGCAGCCTTGCCCTTTGGAATGAGGTCTGAACAAGGTTGGATGATGTTTCAGTGTTTCATCACATCTGTATGGGTGGAGGGGGCTACCTCACCTCTACACCCCTCATGCCTCATGTTCTGCCACACCAGATTCCCCCAGACTTGGCCCCTGCTATGTTCTGGTTGGGAATAGTGTCACTACGAGAGAAGAAAAAATAATGGGGAAGCTACAGTTCGGGACATGCAGATTTCCCATGCTTTTAACCTTCTGGAAAAAGGCTACAAAAGATTTTCTAGTGATCACTGATACAGCAGTACATGCAGTTGGGAGAGATTTGGGTTGTCACAGGGCCACTCTATAGAGGACACAGGGCATGAGTTTTCACTAACACTGAGTTTTCTGTTTAAAGAGATCCATCCTTATTTCCAGTTGAGGACCTCTTGAGACAGATCCCTGGCTCTATTGTGTGAGTTCCTTTAGATTTTCTGGTCCTTAGTGTTACCTGCCGAATGGTGCAGTCATCAGGGATCAAGTAGAGGTGGAACTTGGTTTCCTCAGCATAGATGTTATGGTAGAGCAATGTGGTAGAGTTGATGGGGATGAAGTGCCTGGCAGCAGGGATTATTTTCAGGAGAATTCCCATTGGGGAGAAGGTGGGGTTTAGCAGGACTGTGTAATATGACTCCACTCTGGCTGGCTTCTCCAGGAGCATCCCCTCCTCTTTAAAGTGGGCCACTTGCACCTGAGATTTGTCCACATGTATTCCTGTGAAAGATCAGATTTGAGAGATGTGCATTTAGGGCCTTCATTGAGTCAGGCTTGGCTGGAACAGCAGGATCTCAGGGGTTAGGGTGAGAGACATTCCTGTGGGAAACCAGTGCAGTGATCTGAATGCTTCGGTCCTCCAAAATTTGTATGTTAAATTCTTCCCACCAGGTCATGGTATTATGCAGAAGAAATTTTGAAGAGGTAATAAGTCATGGATATAGAAACATTATGAATGGGATTATAGCACTTATAAAGTGACCCAAAAGACCTCCTTCTTCCCTGGGAGAGCACAGCTACAAGGTGCCATATGTGAGGAAAGGGGATACTTGCCAAACACTAAATTTAGTGTCGCCATGATCTTGAACTTTCCAGTCATAAGAATAGAGAAATAAATTTGCTGTTTATAGGCTACTCAGTGTGTAGTATTTTATAATAGCAGACCACATGGACTAAGACATTTAGCATAGGGAATGGGACACATACATCTTTGGTTGGGGCTCTTTCACTCTCTCTAGGGTAGGGGCACCACGGAAATCCTAACTCTTGAGCCAATCTCAGACCCAAGCCCAGCCCTGGTTGTAGAGGTGGAAAACATACTGAACCTATGGTTCGCTGTGCTGCTGGAGATTCTCTCACTCTGATTATGTGTTGAGTGATGCTAGCGTCTTTTCATTCTAAACAGGCAGAGGAAAGGGAGGAAGAACTAGCAGTGCAGTGACTAAAGGTAGCCTGTATTGTTTAAATGTTTGGCAGCACTCAGGTTCTTCATTTTGGATAGAACCCCATTGTGGGATCTTGGCAAGAGGCAC